GAAAGATTCTATGAAATTAGGAGAAATCTAGGAATGACTAGTGTTCAAGAGCTTTGAGAAAGTTTCTGAGCACTTCTCTAATAAAACAGTGCACACTTAGTTGACTGAGAGCATCACTTTATCAACTAAGACCATTCTATATCTGTTAATGAAAGACATTGTCAGATAAGGGCAAACATTGGTCATTTATATAGCCCAAATAACATAATAAAATCTAAAGAAATAGAAGCAGGGAATCGAGTGAAGAAAAAGAGGAAGAAAAATCCATTAACCAAAAATGAAAAAGGATGGAAACTCTAAATTTTAAAATAATAAAAACTATCCACATTTAAACGTAAAGGTCTGTCGATCTTTAAAGAAAAATAATTTTTGTCAACTCATTCTCTTGTTATTCTCTTTCATCTGAAATCGACTACCTAAAATCAAAACCCTTTCTTCCCAAAATTTTCAAACCCTAAAATCTGAAACTTCCAAAACCGATGGCAAGATCTTCCCTGCCCAAAGATATTCTAGAAAAGAAGAAGGGCAAATGGCCCATGGAAGAAAGTCCGACGTTTAAAATTTAGAAGAAGAAACAGAAAGATGAATCTGCTACAGTGATTATGAAAATTTAGAAGAAACAAAGAGAAAAAGAACAAAAATCAGAGAAAAAGAAAAAAAAGGGAAAACCCTCGACAAAAGGTACCTCTTCATCCCTGAAATTCAAAAACAAGATTCATGAAGATAGATTTAAGAAAATTGAAAATGCTCCTATCTCATGAGGGAAATTCATCGACCAGGATAGCTTCAATGAAGTTCTAGAAATTAAAGAAGGAATGTTAGAATATTTTGAAGGAATAAAGATGAAAAAATTGAGTTTCTTTAAGAACAGATCCTATAGTGCTAGTCTGGTAAAAGAATTTTGTGCTGGTATAACACAAGATGAAAATGAACTAGATGATCCTGAGGAATTTCTGAATGATGGTCTAAATGTGTTTTTGAATGGAAAGGAGTTTGTGGTTATTGCCTTTAATTTAGGAGAATTGTTGCATGCTAAGTGTAATGAGAGAAGTTATGAAATTCCAGAAGATTATGATCCCTCATCCTTGTGGGAAATGATTATTGGAAAAACTAAATGATTTTCCTTAAAAAGCTGTGTAAGTTTCATCAAAAGTCAGCAAACTAGGATATTGCACTACTTTATAGCTTCAACAGTTCATGGAAGAGGTGGCAGCTTTAGCTATGTGAGTCTACAGGATATGTGGATGATGCAGTTTGCATTCAATGCCTTTCCTCTTAATTTAGGAAGATTTATGATAGAAAGCATGAGAGGAACATGTCGAGTTGACAAAATACATTTGCCTTATGAAAATATAATTACTTCTTTGGCAAAGAAAAAAGGTATCTAGAGTTCTAGATACGAGATGGATCAAGTAAGGCGTAGAGATCAAGCCATCTATTTGGGAAGTCTACCTAAGATGGGTTACAAGTTGTATGGAGAGACATTTGTAAAGACTTCCAAGGATGCTCAGAGGGATGAGCAAGCTACTTCTGATCAAGCAACAACAACACCCTCACAAATCTCCAATGAGATGATTCTAAACTTGTTGATGAGGATAGATGGAAAACTCATTGATCAAAGTGCCAAAATAGAGAAAATTGAAGAAAAGCTGCAAGAGTTGGAAAATTTGATGAAGAACAAAAGGAAATCTCCTTTAGGTTCTACAACTAAACATGCCTCTACAACACCAAGTCAAACTCCAACAGGACAAGTAAGTGATAGTCCTAATTTTCAAGCTGAAGGCAATGAGCCAAAACCTGATTCAGCTAAGAAACTACACACCCCTGAACCTGAAACTGAGGAAAAAGATAGTCCAAACACTGAAGTGATTGGATCTCAACTCCATGAGGAAACACAAGAAGCTGAATCCTCGCCACCAAACTCTGAGGAAGTTTTCATCATGGATATCTTTCAATAGATGGTAAGGGAAGAGCAAGCTGAAAAGGAAGCAGCAAATAGCAAGGCACAGAAACCATCATCTGCAAGACTATCCCCTGAATCAGTCCATACTACAAGGAAAAATGATTAGATTAGGAAAGAAATAGGGAAAGCTATTGTACTTGCACAAGCTGAAACTAAACCTACTGGCAGAGGTAGAGACACTATGGCAACCAAGACTAAGTTCCTCAAGAGGAGAATGTCCTTTAGATTAGCTAAAAATGCCAAACCTCTAGTCACGTCTTCTGCTCAATATCCCCTCTCAATCTCAGACACAACATTCCTCTGGCTCTCCATCACAGAAATTCTCCCTTCCAACATCTCTTAAACCCCTCAATATCTTCTTTGGAATAGATGAATTGACCCCCTCAATCTTCTCTTAGATTTGTTCCTGTTTTGCTGATGACAAAAAGGGGGAGATAGTAGGATAGGGTAAGAATTATTAGAAATTTAAAGGTAATTTAGGAAAGTTGAGTTTAATGTTGCTGAATTATTTATGACAACATTTTATTTTAATTGCGACTGGATAGTTGATGATATCTGAACACTAAAATTATTTCTATGCTTTTGTGTTTAATGGAATGTCAATGATTGTTAATTTTGGAATGGATGTGGATTGTTGATAATCTGCTGGTAGCAGTTAGTTACAATGTGGATGATATTTTGTCACCTATCACTACTATCCTGAAAGCTTGAATGAAGTTACACTGATAGAATGTTTGAATTTATACTTGCTACTCTTTCTAAGAGATAGATAAAAATTTGCTGACTTGTTAAGTTGGATAGTAAAATAACTTGAAAAGAACATGCATATATTACAGAGGAGCCCATACTCAAGGGAAGAAATTCCAACCTAGTGCAAAATAAGAATAATAAATAGACACTGTGCTTTTAATCAAGGAATGTTTTATCATCATCAAAAAGAGGGAGATTGTTGGCTCCATTAGTTTTTTATGATAATAAAACATTCCCATTTATTTATGTCTAACTCTTCTACTTGAGTGTGCAGGATAAAAATGTATGTTAAATAATTAGTTAATCATTCAAAAGTAAATATCAAACTCAAAAGAATAAGCAGCTCCAATTGAGCAATGAAATAAGAAGCCTCTCAGTTAGGTAGTTAAGGGAGTTGGTTGGATGAAACTCAAAAGAGAAGTTGGCGGGTTCAAGCAAACCGTGAAAGAGAGAACACTTAGTTGACCAAGAGACAGTGTTAGTTAACTAAGAGCTTACTGCCAGAAACTGGGTTCAGAGACAAAGATGACTTAATCGACTAAGTGGCAATATTAGTCGACTAAGAGCATTCTGTCTGAAAATTTAAATTGAATGCTAAAAGACAAATTAACGGCTATAATTGTCTCCAAACTATTTTCAACGGTCAGAATCTGTCTAATAGCCATCAGAGTTAATTTTTCAAGTATAAAAGGCATTCCCAATAGTTATGAATTAGTTTTGAAGGCCTCCAAGATTAAAAAAGAGCTCAAAATAGTAAAAACTTTCTGAATACTTTCTGCACTTCACTCCAATCTTTTTAATAGAGTTAATCACTTCACTTTGTACCATTCAGATTAGGTTAGTGATCAT